CATGGGTTTTATTTCAATCGAGGTTTTGAAGCATCGCTCGAGGCTGCATCCCATCTCAGCACGCAAACAGTCATCTGAGAGACCAGGTGCTGCAATTCAAAGGGGCACACGCATGATCTGGTTCAGAAATACAGAATCCATAGCAACATGCTGACTTATAGAAAACCAATGCTTTCTTCTAGAATAATGTCTCCCAGTTTGCTAAAGCTAATGCTAATGGAGGCAAATGTTCTATCCAGCCATCCTAACCTAAAACACTTTATCCCAAGTACCAAAAATAATCTAATGAATCTGGTGCTTCTTCTTCACCAAAACATGTGATCAATGGTCCATTTCTTTCTCATTCGAACCACATACCAGGAGTTGTCTTGGGGTGCGTCCGCCCGTGTTACAATAGTGCAGTTGGTGTATGCCATCATATAAATCCCATAGATTTACTCATGCGTTCTTTTGTAATATATGACTAATATAAGTCTCTGATTGCATTTATCAAAGTTATTTTCATAAAGAGACTCAAGATAATCAAACAAAATCACTTGAATTTAGGAAAATGTCTTTTGATTTTAATGTAATGTCAATGAATCAAGCACGTGCTCTGGATATATGCAGTCAATAATATGTCCAGACGCAATTTTTAAAATTCCGTGTTGAAATGTCCCTAAATCCCAAGTTATCATGTGTATTCATACAGGAATGGAAATGACCATGAAAACCTTCCTTTTTAATGAGGCCTATTAGGGATTTCATCAGCTTTTAACACTTTAAAGTTTCTTTCTGATGTACTTACGTATTTCTGATTGTTTTTCTTTGTTTTGTTTGTTTGTGCTTTCCTGGAAATGAAAGGTGCAATATAAATAAAATATATTATTTCTATTATTATTATTATGAACAGAAGCCTTTGGCCTCAAAAAATAAATCATAAATGTGGGATGCATTTATCCCCCTTAAAATGATAGTCTGTAACTCTAAATGAATTACAAATTTTAGGAAATGTGTTAAATTGACCTCCTGGCTTTAAATGTTGATATAAAATAAGTCATTTTATTAATTCTATTATTACGGGTAAGTCCCGCCTTCCCTTCTCTTAGCTATAGCTCAGAATCCACGATGCCGTCGAGATTAACCAATCAAGTCATGCCAAGGGCTGTCAATCATCGGCGCTGATGCTCGTAGCTGCGCGCATGCTCAGTTGTTTGTTTTCACGGAACCTCCCGAATCAAGCCTCTATTAGCTCTGGAACAACATGAAAACTGAACAAAGAATTCTGAACATCTGCACTGAGGTACTTATGTATATACTGAACCTATATCCATAATCAGATCCTCTGCAGATGTGTCCTATAATGTGCAATTCATGATAACAGCTTGTTCCGGGTTTGCCGCGATCGCTTTTTGTGTGCATAAAAACATAATTATTTTCATTAAAACGTTAACAAATAATTCTGAAAACCTCCGTGCATGTGTATTAATAATGTACATGTATAATGTGTTCTCTGATTAACATTTTAAAGTGTTACGGAAACGTAGGTGTAGACCAATCAGAAAGGAAGGGGGAGGGAGCTTTTTGCTTTTTGCTTGATTTTTTCAAATCAAGCACCTCTCTGTCTCTCTTTCTGACAAACTCCAGAAAATCACTTTAAGCTCCATCCCCCCTCCTACTTTTTGTCTGTGCACGCACCTGTCTGAGATTTCATTGAGGAGGATTCTCTAAAACACCTATAATTGCTGAACAGATAATCAATTTTACGATTGCCACCCACTCGCCCTGTTGTGGCAAATAAGAGAAAATCAGATGAAGAAAATATATTTCAACAAAAAGGACATAAGAAGACGCAGCCAGGGCTTTGTAAAGCAACAGCAGTCAAGTTATGGCAATTTCTAGGTTGTTGGCAAATCGCTCACAAACATGAGCCCTAATGTAGTGTACTACTTTCACATTTCAAGCTGCGAGGTTTCATCACAGACTATTATTGCAGAAACAGCATTCATGTCGTGCTGGAAGTTGGGTTTGATGGAGGACTGGTTTTGACTCTGCTACTCGAATGCTAATGCTAAGCTAACAGGAATCCTTTACTGCACCTCTAAGCAGTGTTTTAAAGAGCGATTGTGCAGTTTTCATGCAATTACCCTCAAAAACCTGGACCCACAAGATGGCCTTGCAGTTAACAATGGCACATCTTGTCTTTGCTGCTTCGGTGGCTTCATGGTGGTGCCTGGCCTGGTGTGGGGAGCTGGTGTGGGGAGATGATTGGCTGAGATGAGCTGAGTGCCGTGAGCGCAGGGTGCACAGCGGGGCCCTATGTGAGGCAGTAAAATGTCCGTGACAAGGTGTGCCCACTTGATAATGTCAGGTGGATAATGAGTCTCACCTCCTCACATCTGCTGCGTGACGCCCTCGTTCCTGCCTGCTTTTACCAAATCTAAAATAAAATCCAGAGAGTGTTTCATACAAGGCTCACTTTATTCAGATCTAAAATGCTATTATCTTGAAATACACAATACAAATACTAATAGGTTGCGCAAATTTCACATCACAACATTCCAAATAGCCTAAAGTTTGAAATTGTGGTGATGGAAAATGGAAATGATTTGCTGGTAACATAAGGTAACTGTCTCTGCTTTGTAGGACAATCTTTGTGCCCAGGAAATACAACTATTGTGTAACTGTTTTCTCATGAATGTGTCAAACTGGTGGCAATATGCACAAACATATGCAGGATGTTGGCCAGTTGAAAGGACTTTTGAATATAAGAATAATATGGCAGGTTTGTGTATCTTATCACGGACAAATTGTACACACAAAACACACACAATCCAAAGCAGGAGCCATTTGCAGACCTAGGACCGTAACAAATATCTAAAAAAAACTATGAATTTGCAAACTGAAAATAAGTGCATCTGGGGATCAACAATGTAGGACAAACATAAGTGCTCTGCAAGTGCTTTGTGGGAAAATAATGTGGAGAACAGAGAGGAAAAGACTGAGGCACTCTGGTTTTGAAATAAAAAATAAAAATCCTTTATTGCCATGTTCTTAAAGGAATGAGGGCTTTTTTCTAATATCAGATCTTTTCCTCTTTGTTCTCCAAAACTATGTATTTATTGATTTATTTCAACAGGAATTATGTGTGTAGTGCCGCTAAACATTTCTGTAAAAGCTACAAAGCCAGTAACCATAACCCCAGAGCAAAGTATGAAAAATTTAGAGCGGTGTAGTTGTAATAGCACCTGCACTGAATCTGAAATTGAATTCTAGAACGCGTTGAACCCCTGAAATGAACGACTAGACTTGAAACTTCCTATAAAAGATCTAAGACAAATTAACTGTTACATTTTCTAATCACCATGGATACCTAACAATACTCCCTGTTATTACATGTTTATCAGAATATTTAAAAATGTATCTAATGAAAATACAACTATCATCAAATCATTTCCAGGTGAGTGCAGACAAAAGCAAAGTCTGCACTTATTGGCTTGTAACAATAGATAAACTACTCATGTAAGTATACTAAAAAATCATAATAATAATAATAATAAAAAAATATATACAAAAGCGAAACATCAGTTGACTATGCATGTACAGCACACTGTTGAGAACTGGAGAATTTCTGATCAGGGTCAGAAAAGTCATTTGAAAAAATATTGGCTTCACACAACAACTAAGAATACGTAAGAACACGAGAGGAGTGAGTTCATACAGGGATCAAAAGGTGCTGCTCAAGGATCCGTGGGAAAATGAAGTGGACCAGAACAATTTCCCACGATACATTCCCTCTCAGTAATCCCTCTACGCATTTATTTGTGAACATTTAAAAAACCCAGGAAACATTACACAGCACCATTTTAATGTTAATGAACACTGCCCTCTAGTGGTCACATGTAAGCACTGCATAGGATCGAGCTGTGTATTTCCCCATTTGCGTTATTTCTTTCCCTGTACAGTATTTTTTACATTTAAGTGCTGAGGAAAAACATGCTAAGACAAAAGGCTCTTTCGAAGCACCTTAACAACACGTGGCACTTTATACAAACTATTCCACTTTACAGCTTATTTGCATTGAAACTAGCTTTTTGACATCCTCTCCTTTCTTGTTATCTTCAATGTTGTGATTTTACCATGTCTGCCTATTTTTAGATGATTGTTTGCTGCAAAACCAATTTAACCTAGCGGGACAATAACAATAACTTTGAGCATTTGAAACATCTATTGTTTTCTTTCAGTCACAAGTCTGTGCTGCCCAGGTCTGTCTGTGCTGAGTTTGCATGCTCCTCATGTCTAGGTAGAGACTTATGTTTCATCATGTTTTTCAAAATGCCTTATCATACTATCATTATACTAATATTTGACTAAAGAAAAGTGTTTTTATTTGAAAATGTCTGCATGTGGATGTCCTGACCCACTGGATGCGTCACCAAATAAACATTAGAGGTCAGCCAGACCCAGTTATGAGCTGTTTCTGCTCCATTCCACAGCTCTCAGAACACAGAATAAACACTGAATCAAAGCAAATCAAACTATAAAGCTGGCCCGAGTTTGAAGTAAATTGTATCTTTTATAATCTGTTATTTTAACAGATTACTTGTATCTTGTATGAACTTGTGTTGCAATAGCCATTCAAAACAGGTGGTTCATTTCTAATAGAACATGCAGGAGAAATAATGGTCAGAATTGTCAAATAAAAGTGCAGACTCCTTTCTTTCTTAAATAATAGATCATTTCAAATGGTAAATGAAAAACACAACAGAGATATAAGTTGCTTTTTCTTTAATCACGTTATTTGATGATATTTAAACAAACAACTTCTAATATTTAGTGGAGTTGGTATTCTTCAGAACGGTCACTTCTCATGTACTGTGGGTGAGTCTCTATTGCAGAATCAAACTTCCATCTGGGTTGAATGTTTTCCTACAACAAAAAACATATTGTGAAGATCTTGAAATTGTTTAGTGCCAGTTTGCTAACAGTTGCTGTAATCCCCTCACCATGCCATGGGGCATCTAGGCCTGTGTATTTCTGTTTTCCTTTCTCTTGCTCTGCTGGAAAGCGGCAGGAAGAGGCAGATTCTCCCGACGCAGAGTAAGCTGCAACAGCAGGAGAGACATTTGTCTAAATACAGGAGTCAGGAGGAGATATATGCAAAGAGAGACAGATGCATTAGTATGGAGGGGGAAATATCTCATAGGCGTACCTCTGGGAGCTTAATCTTCACGTTGATGCTATCAGCTGAGGCAGCAATAACTGAAGCAGAAACCTCCTGCATGGTGTTTTGCTCTTCTTTCGGGCTGAAGCCAAAAAGATATGCCATACCTGGGATGTATCTGGCAATTCTGAGAAAGGTAAAGGATTGGTTAACAATACATAATAATCTCTCCACTTTGTCACACTCTTTACAGTGGTGTGTATTCAGTTTTTAAGTAATCTCAAACGGCCATCTGGAAAGCACTACACTGGATTTACCTTGTTCCGTTTGCCACCATGACCTCTGGCACCTTGTCCCAGTGGACAACGGCCTTGAGCTCTGGCTTGTTGCCGCTCAGATATGCAGAGCTCACCCACACAGAGTTGGGCTGGCACTCGGCTCCCCAGGCGAAGTGAGCCTAGAACAAAGGACGAGGTGAGGGCACTGTGGATTCTCTTTCGTTCACTGTAACTTTTATTGTGAATTATTAAGAACAACAATAGTTCAGATCCACACAACAGCAGTTATAGCTCCAAAAGGAGTGTTTACTCACTCCGCATGTGACATTTTGAGCAGGAGCCTTCTTCATTCATTGGCCTGAAATGTCACATGTGGTGTGAATGAAAACACTTCTTTCTCTCTTTAGAGCTTCTACTGCTGTTAGCAATCTAATGGTTATTTTTTCTTGGTTCCTGAATTTGTGTTATCCTACTATTTTTCCCCTAAAAATGAAGGTCCTCTTATTTTATGTTGAAGTGGAATTGTAGGCTGCCATGGACTGTAATGTCTGTCGTCCACATGCTGGATGCTTACCTTTAGCTCTGTCGTCAGAGCGGTGTGCACACACATCTTCCAGTTGGAGGACTCTCCCACGTGGCTTACGACGAGCTGTCCTTCACGCTCAGGCGTGCGGTAGAATGTGGCCTCGTAGCCCTCCACTTTCTGACTGCGGCTCACAGACAGCATTTTGGCGTTCAGCAGAGGCTCAGGGGAACCCTCCATGCCCTAAGAGGAGATAAGCACGTGTTACATCTCTGATTAGTGATCAGCTGTGATAGTCTCTATATCCAATGATAATAAAAACAAAACATAATGGCTTTTGATTTGACTATAAGAAAGTGCAGAACATGATTCACTTGGCTTTGAGGAGGAAGTGAATCCACGACAATATATGATTTTTCAACTGTGGATCTATTAATAAAAACATCAGATTGGGGTTTTCCGTATCATTTTGAAATAAGTGTAAATTGTTTTATGTAGTACTTTTTCTGTGTATATTTTTCTGCATGTGCACATTGTCACATACTCTGGTGTGATAAGGTTTATAACTCACTCTTGATGGCCTGTTGAGCACCTCCTGGGACCGGCTACCTTCCTACAAACATAAAAAAGGGCTTTTAATGTAAAGTGGGCAGAGAGCAACTCATACGGAGGAAAGCTTCATCAGACCTTGGCGATCCTTCTCAGAGTGTCGAGCAGCTGGCGTGCGGACGCTGACACGGCATTGGGGGCTGCGTTCATCTCCAGGCGGATCTTGTCCTCAGATGAGGTTCCTTGGACTGACACAATATTCATAATACTGTAAGTATTGATAACAGGAGGACTAAAAAACAACACATTTATAAATGCATCTGTTTTAGCGGGCCTCATGATTCATTTGAGCTGAAACTCAAAATTACACAAACATTAAAATGACATTGAACTAGCGGCTGATATAATTGTACAGTAACATATGTTTTAGCTGAGGTCATGTTTGTAGCATCTATGAAGATATTATGAGATTTTAGATCTGAATTAAATCCATTTTAATATTACTTCAAGATAAGAATAACTAAATAAAGGTACATTCCTCATCTGTCGTGGTGTTTTTGTCTTTCATCTAAATCTTGTTGTTTGTCTGGATTTTCAGATTGTCACTATACTTGCCTTATAGAGAGGCAGATAAAAAACTCAAAATAATAGCATTTTTAAGAACAACAACAACAATTTGTACAATCTAGTGATTTTTTTGTTCAAATGGTACAAAATGCTTTATGCCTGTAACTCAATATGGTACCACCAGAGGAAAGAACTTTTGTTTCTTTTTTTTTACCATGTGCAAAGTACAAGCTGCAAAGGCAATTTCACCTGAGAACTTTTACTTTGACTTTTTGAAAACTGCTAAGAGCTTAATAAATTGCTTGTAAATTGATCATTACAAGCCTGAGGAAGAAGTTCATTTTACCTGATTACAGATTAGGTTTTTTATGTGCCTCTATGAACACATGTGATTCTAGTTATGTCTGTGTACCTGGTTTGACTTTGATGGAAAAGTGTGTGAACCCGAGGAAGTAGTACAGAGGTCCCTGGTCCTGGTAGTAGACTCTCCTCAGCTCGTACTCAGAGCACAGGGAGACTCCGTACATGGTGTTCTGGGTGCACATCTTTTCAATGGGGTTCCACACGTTGGGAGTTCCATACTGCAACATGAACATTTACACCATTTATTGCATCAGTGTACTAGTGTTGCTAAAATACTAACATTTCAAATCTGTCATATTTGTTTAAAAGGGTAGCAGTTTCAAACCACAGCAATTGAGTTATGTAATAAAATCCATCTAACGCAGGCATGTCAGACTCAGGCCTGTGAGCCAAATCCGGCCTGTGAGAGCGTTATTAGCGGCCCCTGAAATTATTTTAGATTATAATCATATCCATCCATCTGATACTTCTGCCATTCACTAGTTCCTTTACCTGTGGATATTATTACTATGCTTATTCTGCTCATATTCTCCGCTGCTTAAGAACAATATACACATCTGTAAATACTCCTGATCCAAGTGCAATTATAGCTCCAGAGTTTTATTTATTTTTATTCTTTATCTTATTTTAATTGTATTGTCTATTACCTCAAATAATAGACTCTGTTTGATGTGTGCAATCTAGTGCTCATATTTCCTTCTTTCTCTGCTGTAATGTGCGCAACTATGACTCTGAAATTTCTCCACTGTGAGACGAATAAAGGATTATCTTATCTTAATTATTATTGTAACTTGCAGCATTCATGTTAATGGAATACTCTAGTAAGTAAGTAAGTAAGTAACATTTATTTATATAGCGCCTTTCTCAGACCAGGGTCACAAAGCGCTTCACATTAAAAGCAAGATCAATACATACATATAGAGCATCTGGCATGTTATGCTTCAGTTGAATCTGTTCTGAAATGTGAACTTAAAGTAATTAGAAGTAGAGTTAGACCAAAGATTTATGGAAAAGCCCTTTGCTTTGTCATACCAAACTAATAATACTGAAATAATGATAATAAAAGTAAACCACTTATACTTTTGGCGCTGACCAAGTTCGCTCTCGAAACAGTTCTACCACTAGTTTTCACATGCAATTGTCCCCCCATCACATCTTTAGTGTTTAGTGTTTTTAGGCCAAAAAAGTGAAAAGGCAAAGGCCACCGTCACTCAGCCTTATAGCTCTCGGCCCAAAGTGTCAAAAAGTAGTAGTAGTTCTGAATGGAAAAGATAAAATGTTTTCTAATGGAATTAAAACAGTATTTTGTAGTCTGATCTGTTCACAACATTGCTTTTAAAAGTTTTTCTCAGTTGTGACAAACAACATGTGTCATTTGGGATAAAAAAAAAGTTATAATAGCCAGATACATCCATGGTTGACCCACTAGTCTGGATAAATCGAGATCGTAATAAAGCCTTTCGATGCAAAGTTGTTTTTAGTGTTAGAACTTACGTGGGAAGGATCCATTTGGGTCACACTCTGTACACTGGGCATGAGCTCGATCTGCTTGGGTGCTTCTGGGTTAATGATGTTCCTTGAGATCGCATATGCATTGGAACTGTGCAACGGAAAATGAAATAAAATTAATAACATCATAAAAATAAAAGGAATTCAAATGCATTACTGAAATAAGTTTGTGTAAGCCTCACAGTCGTTCAGAGATTATTCAAAACCAAGGAAGGTCGCCCACCCATCCTCTGTTCTTCAGTTGGCAGGTTTTCCGACATTTCGTTCTTAATCCAAAGAATTTTCTCAAGGAAACTCGCAGCTGAGCTTTATTTCCTTAAGAACCTTTTTTAGGTTAAGAATGAAATGTCTGAAAACCTGCTAACTGAAGCACAGATGATGGGGGAGCAACCTGCGTTTGTTTTGAATAACTCTGAAACGTATAATAAAGTCAGCACATGGTCAATTGCGTCATACCGCTTAAATTGTAAGTAATATTATGCTTAGACAATATAAAGAAGTCTTACCTGAAAGAGAAGAGATCAAACTCTTTGTCGCTGTGAGAGATTTCGAGTTCCATTTTCCTTTCCCGGTAGTTGACCTTTGCAACAAAATTCCATGGAAGAGCAACTGGATTTGAGGACCTAATCTCGATAGCGGACTGGAACAAGTCGGTGTTGACGCCATAGAAAAGCCACAGGTTCTTGGTGTATCTAGAAAAGGACAGATAATGCTTTTCAATATTTGTGTTTTTTTTTACGGCTCAATTTGTATTCGTAAGACTTTGCTCTGTTTACCCAATGAAGCCGTTGGTTGTCACTGAAACCTCAGAGGACAGCAGCTGTCCAAGATTCTCCGTCAGTTGTGGTGTGACTCCAGCTTTAGCTTTGTTAAATGGAACACAATCAGACATCAACATCACTTTCTGATTCTGATTTTGACTTGGTTACAAAAATCTTACCAGTGACTGACATGCTATTCACAACATGATAGTATTTGCTAATCTCGACTGGAAGACCAACGGTGGAGGCTTGGATGTAACGAGATTCAACAGTGAGGAATGGCAGGGATGCACGCCATGAGAACCCTTGGATCAGCTGCTCAATCATTTTCCACACAAAGCTGCCTTGTCCCTCAGATGGCTTGAAAGCCTGTGGATAGAAGAAGACTTTTGTACTTTGTGATTTCAATGCAAATACTGTCAGATGTAAGATGGTTGGTTATTCAGACACTGGTTCTCTCGTATTGGGAATATTGCTCTGTTTTCTGGTCAAATGCATCAAAGAAAATAGTTTACAAAGCTTCAGCTAATCCAAACCGGATCAGCCAGTTACCAGTGCGAGGCCATGCATGAGAGGCTTTGGTTCTCTCTAGAGCAACATATTAGAATGATTGGATGTAACTTATTGAACCAAGACCTACCACACTGTACCATATTTTATCTTATGATTCATGTGTGGCTCTGTCAAGTAATGTCAAGTGAAAATTTTTCAACAGACTCAAAGACGAAACAAAACTTTCTTCAAATGTCCTGAACATTGAAATAATAATACAAGCTTTTCTTATGGCTCTATGTGGGGGCTGGTTCTAATACTAATCAAATGTCATCCCAGGGGCCAAGATTATTTGTGGACCGGGTCAAGTCAAGGATTCTTCTGTGGAAGCATATGTACACTCAATAGTTGAAAGGTATGTAATTGTGTAAAAGACATATCGAGATAGCAGTTACATGGTTTGATTATAATCTGAATTGTTCTTAATTTCTTGTTGGATAATGAGTTGGCTTATGTGAATTTTGTGTGTTTGTGTGTAACCTTTCTGTCACATTTTCTGGATGTAATCACAGGTACAGGAGTTCTTTGCATTGTATTGAGTCTTTTGTTAAATGTGTTTTATGGTTATAGTAGTGGTTCTTGGACCCCAGGAATCCAGTCAATGCATATACAAGAGAATAATGTCACTGCTAAGCCTTACCCTGATGATGTCCTTGCTTAAATCACCGAAGATAAACTCTTGTCCCAAAACCCTTGTGTGGACGCTCATCAGAGGTTTGTCGTCTGGCAGGGTTTCCCACTTTTTCAGCTATAACATAATTTTACTGTGAGAAATACTAGTACAAATTGTGCGCACGTTTTTAAAATGCCAATACTTACAACATCATACATGGTCTGGAAGTCAACCACACTTAAATCTCTATTTCCGTCCATGTTGGAAGCAAACAGATGTCTGATTCCCTCTGGGCGGATATTGAACTATAGAAAAGAAGGGGGATGATGTTGGCGTTTGTGGGATATTACATTTATCACATTTGTCACTATGACTTTGGCCTACCTCCAGCAGCTGCACTACCATCCCAATGTAGTGGAAGTTCCATTTCACCATCATTTCAGTTGGGATGAACTGTGAAGCTTTTTTCAGCAGGAAAACCTCAGCTGCAGTACCCATAAGGAAGTTGTCTGCGTTGAAGAAGATGTGAAGTGTTACAATTATCGCTTCATTTGAAATACATCGAAAACACTACAATCAGAATGAGCATCAACTGATGTTTATTTAATGGCTGATGTTTCAGACAAGTAGTTAAGGTAATATTCATCTAAAAATGGTAAAAAGTGTTAGAACTGTTTTTATAAACTTACTGCTGAACGCGTCCAAGCGTGAGCCTCTGCTCTGGAGGTAGTTCAGATGCACATATCTCGGAGCCAAAATCTTCACAGCCACACTCGCAGCGATAGCACTGGGAGGGAAAAAATAAGTTTAACACGTTTAGTGTGTGTCTGATTTGTCTTCATCAGTGTCTTTATCATGTTTGTTTGTCATCTAATGCTCAAACTTTTTGCTTAAATAAAATACTTCTTCTGACGTTGCCATCCCTCATTTAGTTTATATTCAAACTAGGGACCAACCAGGGAGATCATATAAACCAAGACGCATAATTGTTCATTAATATGTTGTTCTTTTGAAATAAATAACTAAATGAATAAAGATAAGCATTGATAATGGGTGGAGATTTCACTGATATTGGCCGATGTTATTACACAGCTTCCACACAGCCAAAAATTAGCTTTGCAAATATGTTGTGAGAGCTCTGACACTGTTAAATTCACCTGGTGTTTTGGAAACTATGCATCTATTATTGATGACAATAAAATCCCCCCCACTGATAATACACAAGCTAACCTAAAGCAGACATTGATATTATAAACACAAGGCCCCAATGTCAGTCCAGTCAACTTCAGCCCCATTAACAAACACTTGAGCAGTAAACGTCTAATGTCCGCCTATGATCGTGAAGACATGAAAATGTATACTTCTCATATGGGGAAAAAACTGGCAAAAAATCAAAACATCATAAATGATTTCATAACATTTAAGCTTCTCTGGTTGTATGACTATTATGTGTGTGTATGTATATACTCACACGTCGTGCTTGTCAGGGGTCATTGCTCTGGACAGACTCCTGAAGTAGGTGTATGCAAAGTTGACCACCTGCATGTCTTTCTCCTTCATCAGGTGAGCGGTCAGTGTGGACACCAGGGCCATGGAGGGCTGGGCGTCGAACATGATCATGAAAGCCAGCATCCTGATCTCAGGCTTCAGCTCCCGGTTCACAAACATCTTCAGGGTCCTTATCTCCACCTGGTGGACGACAATAAAACGCAAGGCAAGTTAGTGTTGATCGATCAACGTGGGTATATGATAATACTTTGTCTGGTAATTCTTGTAATACAGTATAAATCAACTCTCCATAGCCTCTACATATTTCATCTACATCTTCAATTTGCATATTGGTTTGCAAATGGATTTTTTTAATATTAAGAAAGTATTTGTCTGCATAGTCTACACTTGAATAAATGCTTCAAGTTTTAATGTTATGTTACACTTACAGGTGATGTACAAAACTCAGCTGACGACTGTTTAAACTGGTCGCAACATGATATAATGACAAGGTGTCTTAACACACAGTTGCAATTTAGTAAATCAAGTACATTTTGAAATACATTTTTGTACTAAAACTAAAACTAATAAGTTCATAAAGTCTGCTCTGACAATAGTCCTAATTAAATAAAAAACAAGTATTGTGTATTTCCCGACACTTCCTCGTGACGGCTCTCTCTGCTGTTCACATAAACACACTGGGAAGCAGGAATATATACTAGGTCATCAGCTTTGGAGATTAACAGATGATAGAGCTGTGTTCAAACTCTTTCTTGCACCACAGGGGGGGTTCTAACAAAATATACTGTATATAGTCAGACATACACCGCATCCTATAGACAGCAAAGTACTGTAGTTAAAAATGTCCATGTCCTTACGCCATGAGGGTCTCTGGCAGCGATCAGTCTCATGGCCTGCACAGCTGCGCTCTGGACACGCTCGCTCTGTTCCTCTTGGTTGGCATTGGGGTTCAGACCAGGCAAGAATTTCTCGATGGTTTTAAGACTCTGAGGATGACCTGCGTTTCCCAGGGCCTTCAAGACCAGAATCTTCTCCATCTCGTTGTTATTCTTTTGACTTTCCTCTGCCATGGTCAGCAGTGGCTAAATGAGAAAGACGCAATTTAATCAGAAAGACACAACTAAATTATAATGAAATTACATTGAAACAGAAAACAACATATATTGTTACCATAATGGCCTCTCGTGGGCATGGGGTATTGTAGACGCAGAGTTTGTACACAGCAGAGCCATAGGACAGGATCACAGTTCTTCTCAGGATTTCCTCATCGTAGTGCAGATTGAGCAAATTCTTGAAAAAAAATCAAACATTAAGTTTTAATGCTAAATTCACCAATATACTTATATAGTAAATCCCTTAAAACGTACTTCTGCCTTCTTGACAATCTGGGTAGTTGCCTCAAGGTGGTTGAACGCTTGTACAATGACAGTAACAGCTTCAAGGGATTTAAGTTTTTTCTCTTGCAAAACAGTTTCCAGGAAAGAGAGGATTCTTTCATCATTAACTTCAACAACGGTGTGTAAGAACCATTTCCTAAGGAGAAAGTTTTCAATTATATTTTTTTATATTATTAATAAACTCCAAGCATCGGCGTATCTTAGTATCGTAGATTAGATGGACTGACCTTGCCTGAGCGTTTCCTTCCACTTTCCTCCACATCGCCTTCAGTTGCTCCAGAGGAATTCCGCGCAGCAGTTGGTACAGTTTGATGGTGTTTTTATTTGTTGCACTGGTTGCTTGGTGTGCGCTTGTTTCAGCCAGTTGTGTGATCAGCCTTTCAGCCTGTTGCACCTGTGAAAATTGTGTCAATACTTTGTCATTTGTTTAACTCAGGGGTTTCAAACTCATTTTGGTTGCGTACCAAGTAAATAGTAGGTTTAAAACAGTTTAAAACTATAAAAAAAAAATAGAAATTGAAGATTAAATGTAAAAAAATAATCTTTGGTTTAGCTCTACTTCTAATTACATGTTAGTTCAAATTTTAGAACAGATTACATTGAAGTATAACATACCATAGTATCCCATTAACATCAATGCTGCTACATTGATAGTTACAGCAGTAGAGACAATTCAATCACTTCAAGGGCCACTAAAAATGGTGTCGCGGGCCGTATTTGGCTCACAGGCCTGAGTTTGACATGCCTGGTATTCAATACAAAGCTTACCCTAGATGCAACGTCTTCCATCCTCTGCATCGTGATTGGGATATTAACCAGATTCTTCACTGCGTTGAACATAAGGTCTCCTCTGCTCTCCACCACTCTGTTCTTGTTGTCCTGAGAGCTGTCCTGTGCTTTGTTTTTCACTGACAAGAGTCTCAGCTGTTTCCTGTAACACAGTATACAATGGTATTTCTAAGCAAAATCTGTATTGCACTGTATTCCACTATAAGACTAATCTGTAGTGTTATCGTGTATTATCTTACCTGGCCTCCATCTTGAAGCTGCCTTTCTTCACGTTGAATGGGGTGAAGTATTGCAGCTCCACAGCTTGGGCGTTATCAATGAGTCCTGCTTCTTCTGTTGCTTTGATCTTGTAGGTGTATTGGACGGTTGTGAAGACGGATTTTCCCACCTGCACCAATTACATACAAAAATACATATTAGTTGTGACTTTTTGATGAGACGATACCGCTACTGGGCCCACAGACCTTGATGGCGGCCTGGTCTGCAATAGCTGAAGCCAATCCAGTGTGACACACAGCCTTCTCCCTGCAGTTGGTCACATCCACCACTTGAGTGAGGTCCATTTCATTAACCTTGTTGTCTCTCTTGGCAATATAGCTGCTGTGACATTTGCCATGGATGCCAACCTACACCGTAGACATATTTGAAGAATAAAACGCCACATTGTTTATTGTGTTAAAGAATACCATTTCAATTTGATACAAAAAAGGTTCTTACCTCCTCAAGTTCGTAGATATCTTGGTTGCTTTTGACCGTGACTTGGAAGAAACTCAGAATTCCTCTGACCATGTTGACCACTGTGTCGCTCACCTCAGGGGAGGCTCTGATTTCCTCAATGTGCCCAGCAGAGTAGCTAAACTCAATGGCCTTTTCCAACTGTGCTTTGATCTTCTGAGCGAGCGCATCAGATGCTACAAAGCCACTTTTGCCGGGGAAGCCATTGAACTCCTCAAAGACTACGTTGGAGAACTACAGACAGAGAAGAACCATGGTTACGTTTATTTAGTATCTCTATTCAAACGGTATCTATACTGGTCTTTGCTGCATGGTTGGTGCCCTTTTGCTTGTTGCGTCTGTGACTGGCCTAAGTTTGGGCATTGGGCCTTGATGGGGTTCACCAAGCACTACTATAGTCTTAGCTTCATTGAAATGTTTAAACCAAGATGACCATTGAGTATATGGACATATTTAATGTTCAAAAGTGTATCCATAGTCAAATAAGTTAATAAGGGGTAATTTTTGAGCTGAGAAATTGTAAATAAAGGTGTAGATAAGGCGACAAACTGATACCACTGTTAATTATTGCTTATGCATTTGTGTTTACAGATCTATACACATGTATGTTTATACTAACATGTTCATACACACATGTTTATACATAACATGTTCATACACACATGTTTATACATAACATGTTTATAGTGTAATAATATTATTGTGTGAATGTCACTAGTTCTGCTCGAATGAAAATATGCAATGAACTAAAATACTCTGTTTCTAACTGTATCATCAGGCATCATCTCTGCTCCTAATTAAATCTTGGGTTTATAAAGTTTTAAAAAGAAAAGAGAGAGGTGTATGATCAGAGAGTGTTTGGGCCTGTGTCTTGTCAGTGTGTGTGTGTGTGTGTGTGTGTCTTGTGGTAGCGTCTACTGTACAGTATTACTGTGAATTGTACTGTCTAGTAAATTACAATAAGAAGACTTTGTGTGTTGAATTAAATGTGTTGTTTTTAATGGATGTGAGAGGATGGCAATAATACAGTGTTTGCTTCATCAAATCCCTTTTCAAACCATGTTACAAGTGGAAAACAAAAAAACCCTGCTATAATGAAGTGTATTTGTTTCTACCTTCATATGGAAGACGTTGGAAGAAGCACCAGTGATAGTGACATTGGTCCTAATCCTGGCTCCAGCCTCGGCCTGGTTTGGTTTGCCCAGTCCGAGTTTGATCCATCCTTCATACTCGTACTCGTAGTTCTTATTGGGGTTCAAGCTGAGGTCTGTAAAAGTAATTCACAAAGCATGATTATTCTGCTAAAATATAGAAAATATAAGTTCTACTGTCAAAATGTGGACAAAAAAACAGACTTACCATAACGTATGCCGGCTGAAATAGAAAGTAAAACGCTATTAGCATATTTCAATATTCTATCCCAATATTTACCAAAACTATATTCTGGTTTTTTGTCAGACTCAAGTTGAGTAACACGTAAAACTATAAGTTTAATTGTGTTCAGGTTTACAGTGTAGATATATTTAATTTGCACCTAATCTCATTCATAAAATCAATGGGAATCATGGAGCTGTGGTATTTTAAAATAGACCTAAATACATACATTGATTCGAGACTAGTGTTTCCAATATCATATATACAATAACAACCACGAGTTTGGCATAACATGACATGGACTCACTGATAATGGTGTTTTTAAATCAGGGCTATCAAACGACATGTATTTTCCTGAATAAAACATGTTGTCTTGTAGTGGAGTAAAATGAGTCTCTATTTGTCCGTTTGGAAAAAGAGCTGATGTTAGGGTGATCCTCTCTTTGAAACTTTTTCTGTCTGTACGAGCTGCGACAGAGGCCAAAAATATACACACGGTTCTAGAGATAGAATCATGTAGTCATGACAAATAGTTACAAAAATGTCTTTGCACAACAACTTGTTTGGGGTTTGAAGGTTAGACACCTCAGCTCTTACAAACAGGATTTAAACCAGGTAAGCAATTAACAATGTTTTTTTCTTCAAATTGACTTCCCCCAACAACTGAGTTAAATATGATAAACTCAAATATACTCACCGGCCAAAGCCACCAGGCAGCACAGAATCAGAGCCTGCATGGTGAAGACAGGAGTAAGGTAACGCTCCGAGCACTTTCCCTTTTATACTGTCTTGTGTAGACTTTCATGATCTTATCTCTTATGGGTAAACATCATTTGTCAAAGCCATGCTGACCACTGTCCTCCTGGTTGCGGTGACACGCAAACAAAATGGAAAGTTACGCAAATTTGGCTAGCAGAAAATCAGAGTTCTGCCACATAAAGTGAAGATATCTGATGTTTGTGACATTTTGCTCCGGGACAAGACAATGTGTAAATACGGTCTGTTGCATGATATTGCTTGTTTAAGTGACTTTGATTGATTTTCATTACCAGTGAAGCAAAACCTAACTGAACTCATAGCAGACTGTGATAGGTAGCAAAGCAATGGATCTGAGGCACTCTGGAATAAAATGTAAAAGTTATTTTATTGAAAGCATGGACTTTCCAACACGTTTCAGTGTGGGTCTTCATCAGGAAAAAACAGGTGTGACCCTAATGTTTTTTGGCGTTATTCTTGAAGAGCAGAGAGTTACTTTCACTTACCACATCCTGTTTTTCTTTCTCATTAGCAATTGGATTACATAAAGTGAGGCTGTAGTTGCTTTGAAGTTGACAAATTCCCAAATTAGGGACTTTCAAACCATAAACAAAATCTAATAAACATCCTAAGAACTAGTTCTTGGCTCAAAAACAGTTTCACCAGTGTATACATGTATACACTGGTGAAACTAGTTTATACATGTATAAACTGGTGAAAGAAACTGCGTGCATGTAAAATGTGAACTGTACACAGAGCTTGTAAAGAAAGAAATACATAGTTAATAACATATTTAAATCCTTTTATGCACACATGGAATTGACTGAGAGCGGACTTTTGTCATGTTATCTTATCGGCATACTCGATACATACATTACATAAATGGCCACATGTTTATGACCACATGAAAATGAATGACCATTAAAATATATATATTACCATTAAAAATTAAGATAATTGTTGTAAAATTTGAACTATATCTGACTTGCTTTTTTGTTCTGGCCCTGCCTCTCACTCCCCTCACTCCCCTCACTCCCCCTCCCTTTGGCCCGGCTGAGTTGATCGTGTTGTTTGGCCTGAGTTTAGGTGTTTGAACCGCTTTCATGTCCAGTTCGGGCCCTTCAGATCTTCAGATGGGAGATTTCATCGGGGCGGAGCTTTTGAATTCAATATCACGTATTCAGTATGAGTGCAGCATCTGCTTGTAATCAATTTTTACAGACATTCAGTTTTCAGTATTTAAAATTATTGTATGATCTTTGTATGTCATCCGAGGTAACTTATTTTACACACTGGATTATGTGTGCTGATTTGGGGGCGATGTTCAGACGAAAGGCTTAAAGTACAGATAAATATGTTAATTCTGGTGGAACATAGTCTTCTCTGAAATTCAATTTTATATGATTTCTTTCCTTCCTGTTTGATAGAATTAAGTAGAAGTATTTCAAGCTTAAAAGAACAATGTATTTACCTTTGGTATTTATTTTTTGCTCCTGATGCTAACAATAGAGTGGGTTTAATGGCTCAGTTGGACTGTTGCACATACAGTATCTTTAGCTTGTAACATAGAATTCAACTGGATGGTGAACTTTTATTGGTTAACCGTTTAATCACACGTGGGTCTAATAAAATGCTGAATGGGTACATTACATTTTGTATTTTTTAAAAGTTACATCTGCCTGTACCAAGAACATACTCTGCACTGAGCTCACATATAAATGTACAAATATTCACTAAACTACATTTACAATTCATTAAACATTTATGCAACTTTGCTCCTATTTCTGACACAGATTCAGACGTTTGGAAGAAATGTCAAATAATGACATTCACACGTTTAAATACCTACGTTTTCTTCAACTAGTGACGATACACTTAAATGAACTTCACTGATGCATTTTCCTTATGTAGCCAGCAGATGGCGGTATACTACAGCCAGTGTCAGGCATAAACTTTATTATGAGATTTATTCCATATTTGTTTTCCATAAAAAATAATTTATATCAATATACACTTAAATAATTCACGTGTTGATAACACATTTGTTCAGTTAACGCAGGTAAAGAAACCTTGCAGTCAATACATGTTTCAGAGCTGTCTGTCCGACACACGTTTGCTCTGAAGCAAAGCCGCAGGATATTGTTGAGCTTATGGTTCACTCCTCTGCACAGATCGGCCGCAGGATCTTCAGGCTTTGGGCTTGATTTCATCTCAGGCATTCAAAACAGCACGGCACGTTCTTAAACAGTCGGTAGTATTCGTCCTGGATCTGAAGGGCAAAACACAACATATGTAAATGATATAGTATATAATTGAAAACCAGTGTATTATTTTACATTTACATGCATACACATAACTTGTATATTATACAGAAGTTTGAAATATTTCACTCTATGTGCAGTATATAGACTATATAATATCTATATAATATGAACTTTATTTTCTGAAATCACTTTATTATTTATTATTTTATTCTTTCTTCTCTGTCTACCTTACCCCATCCATGACTTCTCTCTCACTAATGCAAAAGATCCAGCATGTTCTCCACATATAATGGGTCTATCCAACATACTGTTGGTAATAATCATCTTAAAGGAGAGGAGGACAAGAGGTCCACTGCACTTCTTGACATTTCTTCATCAAAGTTGTAATCATGTTTATTTGAGATGTGCTCATAAAGGGCTGTAACGATCCACCAAACTCATGATTCAACTGTACACTCACTTGAATTTAAATGATACAACCAATATATCCAATTCAATATGTAGCTAAATCAACACGAGAGAATACTGAATGATCATTACATCATAAGTGATACTTTAACATCCATGTTGAATTGAATAGACCATAGACTTCAGTGGTCTATTTCACACCTATGAACGTTTGTGGTCGTCAAGAGGAGGACAACGACATAATATTACATTTTTGACGAAAACCCATGACAGTGTTTTAACATTTGCACTCGGATATCATTTGTTTTGTTTGTTTGTGAATGCATTATGTGTACATGTTTGTATGTGTACCACGTGCATGTACCATGCACTATGAAGGCCATATTTTTATTGCAAAGTAGCAGGGGAATTCTTTTGCATGTACCTTTCTCGAGAGCACACAGAGGAAGATAAAGATGAACATTCCTTGGAAAGCATTTGTGAAAGTGAACAGATATGCAGTCAGCGTGGTTTCATGGACAATGTGGAGGACTCCAAAGGTCCAAGTGGCTCCAAGGACAAACAGAAGAGCCAGAGCGCCCCGGGCACATGACCTGCACACAGACCAGTTTGACAGGAGAAAGTAATAGTACAAATACAAATATAAAAAAACATTACATATCTCTTTACAAATACTGTATATGTACATCATATTTGTAATCTACCTGATGTTCTCATAATGACTAACTTCTGGCTTCTTCACTGCAGTGTGCTGGTACACTTTATACATGATTACACCATAAGCCAGCAAATTCACCTTAAGAGACAACAAACAACACTTCTCAATACTTTATGAGAATAATTTTAATAACAAAATATTGCTTTCTTACCAAAATGATCAAACATGCAGGTCCAATAAAACTCCAGATGAAGTGGTTTTCTGTACTTAGCCAACACCTGTAAGACAATATGTTCCATAATGCCTGTGGAAATTGCTGTGTTGTTCATATACACAGACACACACACAGACACACACACACACACACACACTGACACACACACACACACTGACACACACACACACGCATGCAAAAAATGGAACACTGCATTTTGTCCTATATGTAATTTTAACATGCATATAGTTTTTTTTTTTGCCTTTGTCTCTCCATGGCCTCGCACCAAAATATATTAGAGACATGTTAGTACCAAATGAACCAGCCCGGACTCTGAGGAGCACAGGGACTGGACTCCTGTTAGTGCCCAGAATCAGAACTAAACATGGGGAGGCTGCATTTCAGATTCATGCTGCTAAAATCTGGAACAATCTTCCTGAAGATGTGAGACAGGCCTCCTCTCTGACAATGTTTAAAACCAGGTTAAAGACAGTTCTGTTTAGCTGTGCATACAACTGAGGGATTTTATATTTATCTTTCTATTTAATGTACTGTGATTATTTATGATTTTAATGCCATCTTATTTTTTTGTTCAGCACTTTGAGTTGCCTTGTGGATGAAATTGTGCTATACAAATAAACTTGCCTTGCCATGCCTTTGTCAAATCTTTAGACGTCTTCTGCCTTTTGAGAGAAGACACAGCTCTCAGCCCAACAAATTAGTGACTCAGAAAGATTACATGTTTTTGAAGCTGACCTTTGTGGTCGGATTTTTGAAGTGAAAAAAGTGATGTACACCAGCTTCAGGAAGATGTCATATAGAAGTTGACTTGTTTTTAATGTGGAATGTCACAATGCACATGTGATAAAATGCCTAATGTATTGTTGGACAGAGAAAGATTGTGCTTACATTTTATCTGTCCCGTAGTATCTGGCTCCCATTGATGCCGAGATGGCCACCACCACTGCCGGGCTGCCGTAGCCAAACATGTAAAAGTTGCGGTGTAGAAAACCTTTGTTGTAGATAACACCCACCACGATTAAATACAGATGGATGCCCTCGATGCACATCCAGGCGAAGGCCGCCAGGAAGAAATAGTGCAAGAGGCCTGCAATCACGGAGCAGAACAGCTGCAGGGAATACACAAAACAAGACCAAAAGGAAGTTTAGTTTAACACAAAGTGGTCTGCCCTACATTACTTTCACCCTTTTTATTCCAGTCTTGAAACTATCACTGCGGTTCTCATTCAACTGTGTCAAACTGTCCAGATCACAAATCACACATATGTTCCATATAATGGACAGAATACACACATTGTTTTTCCTTGTTTTCGGATGCACAGTTTTTGGGAAAATACAATCACAGCACTGTTTTTTGAATGCTTACTTTCATTACTTTTTCATTCGATTTATATAAATGAATTCATATCGATTTAATATACTGATATAAATTCCTTCCATTTTTGTAAAAAAAGAAACTATATTCGTAATAACACCAAATGAATAGGTAAGTATTCCAAATCCATTTACTCAAGAACAGCATTAATCATAATAATAATAATAAATCATAAAATTAATCATAAAAATAGTACATAATCGTGGTACATGTGTTTCATGTACATATATACATAATTCAAGACATACTGAACATGATTATGTAACACACACATGCACACGCGCACGCACACGCACACGCACACACACGCACACACAGCTTTGAACTGAAACGTGTCCTGTGTCCCTGTCCTGTCTCTCACCTTGTGACTGTTCAGGTTGATGCCCACCAAGAAAATGAACTCGGCCATGAAGAGGCTGCAGCACAGGTTCTTGTGGATGGTGGTGCGCGTGCTCTGGATTTCACTGAAGAACCAGAAGGTGAAGATGCACATGGAGAGGCAGACGAGTGAGATGATCATTCCCAGCTGAGTGATCCGGGTCAGCACGGTGTAGTGGGCCACCAGCTGAGCCAGAAGAAGAGGTAGTATGACTTTGTTTTGTTAAAACAAATCATTGGAAGAAAGCGCTTTGCTAAATCCAAATTCTTATCATGAAATAGAATGTATAACCTATGCTACACTGTTCTGGTAAGCAATCATTAGCAATCTAGATCATATGGCCCTAAACCTGTGGAGTGCCACAGAGGTCGATCCTGGGACCTCTTCTGCTCAATCTCCACATGCTGCTGTTAGGTTCTGTTAAGTCAGAAGCAACATGTCTACGACGACACCCAGATGTCTCACTGACTGCAGGAGAGCAGGACCAATGGACTCGCTCCTTCAATCAATCAACTTTATTTGTATGGCGCCTTTCCAACACAAGGCCACTCAAAGCGCCTCACAACCCACATAATATCACACAAATCAGAGACATCAATAAATACATTAAAAACAGAATAAAATCACAAATAATCCTTCACTGCATCCAACAGATCAAAACAACTTCCTTCAGCTAAACACAGACAAAACTCAAAGGATTGTTTTTGCTCCCCAGAAATAAAGAGGGTGTTATCTGTCACCTCCAGTCCCTGTTCCCAAAACCTTCAAATCAGGCCAGACATCTAGAAGTATTACTAGACTTACATTTTAACAACCTTTTTACCCATCTGAATTTCTTTTACCAGAATAATACAAAAAATCAAGTTGACTTTGAGCTTAGACTGCTATGACAAGCTCTCCAAACAAGCTGTAAAACCACTGCAGTACTGTATATTCAAAATGCAACAGTTTGAGTCTTGTCTAGAACCAGGAAGTACGACCACATTAGTTCAGTTCTCAGGTCTCTGCACTGGCTTCCCGTGGCTCAGAGAATAGACTTTATAGCAGCATCTGTGACATGTTGCCATATGAACCAAATCTGACTCTGGGGAGCATTTCAAACGTATACAGTTAAAATCTGGAGCAGTCTTCCTGAAAATATGAGACTTGCTTCAACAGTTAAAACAGTTCTGTATAGCTGTGCAAATGAATGATATTGTGTTAATCATGATTTACTTTTAAAACTTGTATTGGCCTCTCCATGGGCATCACTTCAGTCATTTGTATAAAAATTCCCTTATTGACTTACCATACCGGATCTAATTCATTAATCGAAAAACAAAACTAATCAATAATCTACAACTATAATCTATCAACTACAATCACAGACTATTACAAGCAAAAAAACAGATTTGAAGAGGCCTTCTGGAGCCCTGTAATAACATCACTATCTAGTAATGAATGGCTTTTGACAACAGACCAATCAGACCAATGACAAAACACAATATCAAAGCCACATTAACTCGCCGCACACTCACGTTGGCGCGCCCGGAGGACATGAGGATGGCGAAGTGGGTGAGGTGGGTGCAGGAGCAGGTGGTGGAGTTGGGCGCGACGTGGAGCGTGGAACAGCCCTCCGTGGCCCAGCGACCGCGCAGACCAACCCGCTCGTACTCCCAGAACACGCACTTACTCACGTCCGCGCTGGCGTCTATTGGCTGCGAGGGGCACAGAGCAGCAGAGACCCAGTTAAGCTTGGACACCACTGTTTTATGAGTTTGTGCGGAGAAGGCTCTGGGAGAACACGACGCCAAGGGGAAGGCAAACTCATGGAGCAATTTACACTAAAACAGCAGAGAGCATCAATTAGTCCTCTCTCAGCGGGGGAGAAGCCGAGGCCGACAATAACTGTTTGGGCAAAATTATTATTCGCAAAGAACAAATATGAGCACATTTACATATTATATGAAAGCTACTCAGTGCTTTGTAATAATGGAAGAAAAATAATGTTACTGGTAAAAGCTGGCGTGCATAAAATTCAAACCGTAACAAACATTTTCACATGTATTTTGGGACTTTGACGCATCTTTAGATCAGATTTTGTATGTATAAATGAGAAAAAGGAGGACCACAGGGTTCTTTCTTATAAGCATGCAAAAGATAGCATGTTTCATAATGAGATGAAGACAGCATTTTCTGGTCTGATTTGTTCACAGACTCTTTTCTTGGGATAATTCACAAAAAGTATTATTTATAGGATTTTTTTATTTAAAAAATGACCTTTTGAGTGTTTCGTTAGATTTTTTTTTTAGCATACATTTATCAAGTGGGTTAGGGTTAATATATCATGATGTTTTATAATAAAATGAAGACTGCAGGTATAGTCGTCTGATTTGTTCAGTATATTTAACTTAAAAATAGATCACTTTTGGAACCACAATCTCTGAGAAATACTAAGTTTAACACTCAGAAAACACAGAAAATCATCATTACCAATATCATCTGTAAATCTTATATATGTTCACAAGAATCCAAATTATAACTTTAAATGTGCTGTAGAACAGATCGAATGTAACAAATTAATAACTAACCAAAAGAACAGTGACATTGTCAACAAAACTTGAAGAGCAAATATAATATTTTAGGGTTAGGATTTAACATAAAAGCAATGAAATACACTGTTCCTTGAGTTTCTCCAGAATGATTCAGTCTGATGAAGGAAAGGAACTTAGCTTTAAATGTTCTGTTTGTGACACTGAGAAGCAAGATATATTAAAAATATCAGAAATCGTACTTTTTGACACTAACGCAGAAATCTAATGGCACTCTGGTACCAACTAAACAAGTTGACAGACAAACAACATTAAACCTACAGGTCTCCATTGAAATACAAAGTCTCCCAAGTGCAAGACGTTGCTATTGCCTTTAACCATGTTTTCATAGACTCTGTTCAATCCATTGCAAAGACGTTTTCACCAGATGTTTCACAAAACTGTTTTCACAGAACTGTCCTTCTGAGCCATCTTTTGTTCTACAGAGCTTCTCTGAAACTGATGTTACACACTGTGTCCTCATTAGAACCATCGAGAACTAAAAACCCCTCTGGGATTGATGCTCTAATGTTAAAAGAACTGGCCTCAAATTTAGCTCCCCCAATAACCGCAATTATGTATCAAGCCTTGGCACAGGCTTCATTCCATAATCTATGGAAGTCTGCGGCTGTAATCCCAGTTGTCAAAACTAGGGATAAATGTTCCGTTCGTAACTACCGGCCAATCAGAATTCTGTCCACGGTGTCAAAGGTCATGGATGAAATTGTAGCTGAACAAATAATTTAACATCTTATTCAATCTTCATCCGATGCAGTTCGGCTGTAGAGCTAAATACTTAACTGAAACAGCAACTTGCTTTCCCACTGAAAACATTGAATCTCTGCTTGATATAGACGGCGCTGCTGTACTGTACTGCTCCTCGCAGATGTCTGTCCAAATATCTATAATCAAGCTCACACAATCAATATCACAGATTGGTTGGAAACAAATTGTATCAAAAACTAAATGTGTGCTTCACCAGGTAAAAAGAAAAACATTAATTTAGGGGAAAGAGTAGGAATATTTACTGAGTGTGGCTTTACAGCACATTCACACAGACACAAACACAGACAGTCCGTCACAGAGTAAAGTTTGGCCCCCATTTTTTTTTTTTTTTCATAGGCCACAACTTTAAGCACAGGCAGCAAAAGTAGTTATGCATACCATTATATTGTCACACATGAAATAACGTCTCACAAATTCCATTGCAAACCTCAACAGCATAGAACAAATAATCTTCAAAAGTCCCTCACTGTAAACCACACCATTACCACCAATCATGATCAAGTTTGTGAATTTGCGTTTAATGTTCAGTGCAGTCCATGACCTCTCCTCCCCTTGAACAGTTCATAAAAGCTAGATCCACAACTGTTGGAAACATCAGGGGTTTAGTGAGCACAGGACTGGAACTCAATATTTTTCCCGAAATTCATTGCTGTATGGTTCCTTGCATGTGCTGTCTTAATTTGTATCTGTGTCTTTGCACTGTATTTTAATATTTTATCAAATTTAGGGTAATCCACCCAAGAACAGGGTGAAAAAATGTCATTCATTTACAGAAATGTATATGAATGTACATTGTTCTTGTTAAATAAACTAAAAAAAAAAATCATACAAAATATTCGATCTATGAATCACAAAATAGGTACCCCAGCTTAAATGCAACCCTTTATCAACCAATCTATGCTCACACAAAGATCGGTTGACACTGTTTTGACACGGTTTTGAAATAAAATATTGCAGAATTCCAAGTGTATCCCTCAGCGGAGCACTTACCTGCTTGTGCTGCAGAGTGAAGGTGATGTGGTCCAGCTGGTAGACGTGCGCTGGTCGGACGGCCGCCGCAACCACGTGGGAGTTGACAGTGATTTCCCCTGAGTCTGCGTAGCGTGAGTAGTCTGTGAGGCCGGGGTCAGAGGAGGGCTTCAGGAGGGAGCTGACACTGTCGTAGCGCACAAACACCACCGACACTTGGCCTACAGAGAGCAGAGAGTACAGAGTGCTTATACCTGCATGTCACAAACTTTCAAACCAACTCACAACCTCAGTGTGACTTAGAGATAATGCGTACAGCATGGTGTTGTGAGGAATCTGAGGACACTAATTTATACGGACGCAAATATACAACTGGATAGCGTTGTTTTGTCCTCATTACACACCCCAGAAACAATCCTCAGAAGAAAATAATGCATTGGTTTTATATAGCGCTTTTTTGATACTCAAAGATCTTGTAGTAAGTAAGTAAGTAGTAAGTAAGTAGTAAGCACATTATTCATTCACTCCATAGGGTGATGGACAATTACAGTAGCCACAGCTGCCTTGGAGAACACAGACAGAAACAAGGCACCCAGTATGTTTCCTCTGACCACCACCAACCATTCACACACACACCAGACTCATTCTAGGCAATGTGGGTGAAGTGTCTTGCCTCAGCCGCCCCACTGTGGCACCTGGTGTTCTCAGAGGTCTCCCATCACAGCACTAACCAGGCCCTGCCCCGCGTACAGTAGCTTCAGATGTCTGACCGTATCTGGCTTTCACATGCAGGTATGGCCAGATATGGAACATCATCTTGCAATGGTCCAGAGTGATTTTACTATAATATACATTAGATTAAGATCGTTTGAAACTATTGTGAAAGGTCAGCTTTTGTTCTGCCTCTGGTTTTGAGAAGACTTTTAGAGTTCATTTATTCATGCACAGTTGTCTATCAGTGAGAGGCTTTCCTGAAACTTTCTCACCACTGGATACTTCATATGAATTTCTACTTCTCCAAAACATTACTTTACCATTTCTTTCCTCTCTGGGCTTTACTTTTGGAGTCAAGTTCACCACATCTCGTCCCATTGTGGCAGACAGTTTGGCTTTGGTTTGCGTCGCTTCAAATGTGACAAGTTTTAATTCTGTGGAAGACCAAAAGCACAGTTTATATCTGCATTTACCATCACTGCCTCCACCTTCTGTCTTACCCATGTCGCTGGCTTTAAGTTGGAGCTCCATTGGTCTGTTGTAGCCAGTGGCCAGCCTCAGTGCACTGTCCTCCACAGTGTGCAGCAGCTTGGTCAGGCTGTGCTCTCGCTGCTCCTCTTTGATTCTGCCCCAGGCCAATGCTTCATCATTTTCCACCAAATTGTTCACAGCATGCACTAATTTCTATTGAGAAGATGGTTTAGTACTGGAGGATAGTAAAGTTTGTGTATCAGCTTGAAAAGTCAAACATACAAATTATTTAGAATATATTGATATTCTAAAATTGGCATTATTAGACTTTCAAAAAAAAATGTTTGGGGGAAAATGTACAAACTTTTTATTAGCCTTTCTGCTATTATTATTATTTTTTTTTTAAGTAGCAGAATTCAGGTTCAGGGCTCCACATTGGTCCATTTCACATACAACTCTGGTACCTAAAGGGTTAGCTATAAATTACTTTTTATTGTGTTCATCAGTAAAAATACATACATTTCCCGTGAACATTGAATACTTTCTGACAAATGCTGTTTTAATGGTTTGAAATTATTTTTCCAATAATCTTCTATTGGCAAATCAACAATTTCGCAAGTCCTTTGGAGATGTAGTGATTCGAAGCTGTACAAAAACAAATTGAATTGGTAAAGCTGAAGCCTAAATATGTACCGTATGTCTTAACATAAACCGACCAGTGTGGGCGTTCATGGACCTGGGTATTTTTTCCATAAATTCTATGAAGAGTGAATGTATGATCCTGCTCATTTGTGAAAGTGGATGCGTTTTTGAAATACATTTTTTGTTTACTGCCACTTACTCACTCTTCAGTAGACTATATTAAGATAAGATAAGATAAGATAAACCTTTATTCGTCTCACAGTGGAGAAATTTCAGTGTCATCGTTGCGCACATTACAGCAGAGGAAGGAAATAAGAGCACTCAGATTGCACACATCAAATTGAGTCTATTATTGAAGATAATAGACAGTAAAATTATAAGATAGAAATAAAATAAAATGAGATAAAACTATAATTGCACTTGGTTCGGAAGTATTTACAGATGTCTATATTATACATTAGCAGCGGAGAATATGAGAATATGAATATGAGCAGAATAAACATCAATAATATCAAAAGGTAAAGTGACTTGAATTATCAGATGGATATGAATAATACATATATTGAATAATATTGAAGTTTTGTCTAGATTGCTGGTTAGTGTTGATAATGTTGGCTTTGTCCATATAATTTCAAAAGAAATCAATTATTCTGATAGACCAAAAGAGCCAAAAAAGTATATACATTGCTAATAGTAGGTGAATATGTTGTCATTACATTTATCATTATGATTGTTATTAAACTTATGTTATTGTTGATTGATTGCTGTAATAATGTTGTTCAAATGTTGCCATCGACAGTCTTACCTGAATCTATAACCAGGACAAAAGGTTGTTGTACTCAGGGACTCTCTCACTATAGGGCCTTGCAGTCACAATGATCTTATTATATACAGTATATATCCTATCTACTATGATTTAGATCAAATCAATAAGACATCAGTATTATCAAAATCCTGCATACAGCCGTACAGTCATACAAAGCCATACATTCAGTCAGTGTCAGTCAGGATGGTCTTAAATGGTTGCATAGAAACCAGATCTCACATCCAGGGTGGAGTTGACGGCTGACAGTTCCATGGTGTGGTTGTTGGTTCCCAGGACAGACGAGAACCAGCTCAAGGCCTCCACAAACGCGATGACTTGGACTGAGGTGAGCTCGCCTGCCGTCTGATTCACGATCTCCTGCAGAGCGCTCTGGGGCTCCTTCAGGTGGGTCAGCTGCAGACAGAAAAGCACTCAGCAGGTTTGGACTTGCATATATGTTTTGTGAAGGCCAAACAGTTACAACACCTTTTTTTTCTGTAGCGTGAACAAGAATATGCTACAGTGGTATTTCTATTTTACATGTTGGTCCTTTCGGTCTGTCTAAATAATTGATTTCTTTTTACTATTGTTCATTGATTAAGAGCCACAAACAATATTTTTTCTTCTTCTTGCATTAACATAGGGGGACATTTTTACCACAATAATACTGTTTGATTTCATTTTTGTACCTTATCATATTGTTACTGTGTGTGTTTTAATGTGTTTTAAAGGGACATTTATTGAAGTGGATGTATTTGTTTGTAGTTAATATCGATAAGGTTTCACTTACAGTTAATGTTGGTCATGTACCAAAGTGCCGAAAAATACACATTATTATTCTGTTACAATTAAAGCCTGCTTTATCTATTTACTGATTTATCTGAACAGGGACAATGCACATTAAGTAAGTACGTAATATTTATTTTTGTACTGGTAATTTTCCATTCTCTCCACATGATAAAACCTCAGAAAATCACAAATCATTCACTCTCAATACATTCATTCCTATTGTAAATGAAACCGGAGCACCCGAAGGAAACCCACTGTAGATCATGCAAACTCCACAGAAAACGGCTTGGAGGTGGAATCGAACCCAGGACTTTCTTGCTTCATTATGATAAATGAATAATGAAGATTTCTGTAAATGTGCCACTTTTAGCTCCAAAGCTAGTTTTTAACTGTATTCCCCCAGCAAGGTGTAACGATGCTATTCAAATGCTTATACATTAGTAAACACCACATAAGACAAGGTGACATAGATTCAACAAATGTGGCATATAAAGACAACAAATATATATTTTCTCCACAGAAATAGTGTTAGTAGCAGATACAGACGTTAGTGAAGAAAAATCAGATCACTGCACGCTGTATTCATATCATGAGAAAACATTTTCATTATTACGCCATTTCTCCAAGCAAAGAGCCGTGTAAATCAGTACTTGTGATAGAGGATTATAAATCATGCATGTGAATAACTGCAATGTGCCAAAGAGTCTGCGAGAGTAAGGACCTCGTCAGACGTAAAAAAATAAATACATTTTTTTTTCCACTTTTTGCTGCTGGGAAATTCAAGTTTCCCATCTTAAATAATCCCTCATATCTATTACTGCAGCTGACGATGCATGGAAATTATAACAAATATTTACACACACACTGTACACACTACACACATACCATAATTGCTTTCTTCGACAATTTCATTAAACACATGATTAAAAAATTGTATCTTTAGTCTAACAGAATCAGCAAACATTCATACAATTGATATAAAAATAAAAAAATAAAAATTGAAGAGGGCAAACCGTGACACACACGCTATAATTGCTATTTCACCTGCTGTTTTGCATGGCACGTTTGTTCTATACACACTTTCTCCATTAGAGGGCAGTGTCATCCTGTCTCACAAACTTCAATAACACACGCACACACACACACACACGTACGTACTTACATATTCGAGTGTTTTGTTGACTGTCTTTGTTAAGCAGCGGCTGTTGTCATGGCAGTATTTTTGGGGATGCTCTGAAAAACAGCAATTACCAAAAGTATCTCTTTGATTAACTGGGTCATCTCCATAGATATTTATTTTTTTCCCTTTTTACAGCAAATGTCAAAATACCACAAAGCTCGGGAGCAATCACATTCTTGTATTATTCAGTGTTTCGGATGAGCAAAGTGGTTAAATTGGCACGGGTGTATCTGTGCGTGATTTCAAACAGGAGGAGGTAAAAGAAGAGTTTTGTCCTTGAATGTAAAGTACAGTGATACCAACCAGCGCACGTTACTCCGTCGTCGATATGAAAGCGCTCAGAGCCGGAGGTGGGGACGTAATCGCGTTGACAGGTGCAATAGAAAGATCCATTTGTATTATGGCATTGGGAGTTGGGTCCACAAATCTGTCCCGACCGGCATTCATCCACGTCTGAAAAATGCAAATCAACCAAGTTCGCAATCACATGATGAAAGCCAGGCACAACAAAAGCAATAATTAATTAAAATACAAGGTCAGTGTCTAGTATATTTTGGTTTGCTAATTTAAAAACAATTGGAAGAATACACTCAATGCTTTTGCAAAGGGAAATGTAGTCCAATGTCAAGTGTAGGTGTGCGCAAGTTGAGTTGTGAATTATTGCTTTGTAAAAATGTCATTAAAGTAGTTGAATATTGAGTGAAAAGAGGCTTTCATAAAGTGCTTCTACTGCTGCATGACCACTTTCTAACTATAGTTTCAACTGTTTGTAGATTTATAATTACTTTAATTATCATTTTGATCTCATAGCACCCATGTTTGTCATTACATTGCTGCTCTAACCATTGTGGCTGCTATGTCTCCCACTGCAGTGCTTCTATTTTTATAAGGCACATTTGATAGTGCTATAAACTACAGAAGTACGTGGAGCCCACCCATAGATATTTAAATACAAATGCATTCAGATTATTGTGTTTAGACTATTATACAGCAGGTGAAACTTTTCATCCCAAATATAAATACAATAATACCATTGTACGCACTGTAGATTGTTCCTTAACCCTATACTGTACCCTCAGGTCAAAATGACCACAAATGATTAAAAGTAGTAGAAGACAAATACCCTAATTAGGTTCTAAAATGGTCTAAATGACCCAGGACTGGTCAAGATAGGAAAAATAATCAAAAAGGGTGTTTTTTAATCACTGTGGTGGGTCAATATGATCCATGGATAGCACAAGGGTTAAACCTGTTACTACACCGACACTGGATTTTACTCTAATTTTATATTTTTTGTAATAATGAATACAGTATAACCATCAAACTCCTGGAAAAGTGAAAGATAAAAACGAAACTAAATGTCAAATCAAACACTCTGGTAAAACATCTCAAAATTATAAAATAAATAAAATAAAATATTGTTGGAAATTAGCAGAAAAGTAAACGTGCTTCCGCTTGGAGCTTTTAGTTGTTAGATTTACACTTCCCTAAATCTCATTTCCAGTGACATTTTCCTCAGCTGTAAAAGTGGAATTGTTGGGACTCAAAATGTGGTCATTCTACAGTCAAATACTGTAAATCTAAAACACTTATGGACATTGGTCACCTGCCCCTTATGGACCAATACCAAAGTGTTTTCTAATTCTTATGTGTGAAGTGATTCTTTGATCTGTGACAAGAATACATTGAATCGAAACTATAGGGTCTCAGCTTCAAAAAGTGTCCAGCCATTTCTCAGTGCTCCAAAAGGTTCTCAGACAGTTTGAATGTTTCCGTATTTTGAAGGCGTTTTAAAGGTCTGTAGGGGAAAAAAAGGTCTGTGTAGTAAGGAGATAAGCAACATGCATCCTGCCTCACAGTGATTGGTGCTGGTGTAGTGATGGCATGGCTGAGCTGATGTGTGGAGAATGGCCGTTACCGATGCAGTGGGTTCCATCATTGGGCTGGAAGTCGGCGGAGCCTGTGGACTTGTATCCAGGCTCACACGTGCAATAGTAGCTGCCCTCTGTGTTGGTGCAATTCCCGAAGTCCCCGCATATGCCCGTTACGTTCTGGCACTCGTCGTAATCTGCGCAAAGAGAAATGATTCAGATTCATTTTGTTTGCCGTTTGCAGTAAAAATCGCACTGGAATATATTTGCAAAGTCCCCAATGTGCAACAGACAAGTACATAAATAAACAATGTTATGAATGAAACAAACTAAAAAGACGTGCAGGAAACAATTGACACTGTGAAACCGATCAACCAAAACAGTTTCAATACAAGTTCAGGACCATTAAAGTGCCTTGAGAAGGTTGTCCATGCCCTAATAACCACATGGCTGGACTATTTTAACTCTTTGTACTATGGCCTTGACCAGTCCTCAGTTCACAGACTGCAGCTGGAACAGAACAGTTCAGATTCTGACGGGCACCAGACAACACGAGCACATCACTCCTGTGCTGTCGTCTCTACACCGGCTTCCCGTCGCTTTTAGAATTAAGTTTAGAATTGTTCGGTTAATATTTAAATCACTGCACGACCTGGCTCCGTCATATCTCAGATTCAGACTCAGATTCATTTATTACGTTGTGTAGCACCCACAGATACATGCATTAAAAACAACAACAACAAAAAAACAGACAATACACACAAAACAGACAATACACACAAAAACAGACAATACACACATAACATTCGTTGACACTAATGCACAATCACCTGATGTTATTCAGCAGCCGTATGGACTGAGGTAAAAAATAGTTCTTAAACATATTGCTTTTGCACAGTGGGGTCCTGTACCTCCTCCCAGAATGCAGCACTTCGTATTGTGAGTAGAGAGCATGAGTGGTGGAGTCTCTGATGATGTTCTTCCATCCATCCATTTTCTTCCGCTTTATCCGTTGCCGGGTCGCGGGGGCAGCAGTCTAAGCAGAGACGCCCAGACTTCCCTATCCACACACACTTCCTCCAGCTCGTCCGGGGGGACCCCAAGGCGTTCCCAGGCCAGCTGAGAGACATAGTCCCTCCAGCGTGTCCTAGGTCTTCCGCGGGGCCTCCTCCCGGTGGGACGTGCCCGGAACACCTCCCCAGGAAGGCGTCCAGGAGGCATCCGGAACAGATGCCCGAGCCACCTCAACTGGTTCCTCTCGACGTGGAGAAGCAGCGGCTCTACTCCGAGCTCCTCCCGTGTGACTGAGCTCCTCACCCTATCTCTAAGGGAGCGCCCAGCCACTCTGCGGAGGAAGCTCATTTTGACCGTTTGTATCCGCGATCTCGTTCTTTCGGTCATTACCCAAAGCTCATGACCATAGGTGAGGGAGGGAACGAAGATTGACCGGTAAATTGAGAGCTTCGCCTTTCGGCTCAGCTCCCTCTTTACCACAACGGTCCGATACAGCGACCGCATCACTGCGCACGCTGCACCGATCCGCCTGTCAATCTCACGCTCCATTCTTCCCTCACTCGTGAACAAGACCCCGAGATACTTGAACTCCTCCACTTGAGGAAGGACCTCTCCACCCACCTGAAGAGGGCAAGGCACCTTTTTCCGGTCGAGCACCATGGCCTCGGATTTGGAGGTTCTGATTCCCATCCCAGCCGCTTCACACTCGGCTGCAAACCGTCCCAGTGCATGCTGCAGGTCCTGGTTCGTTGGAGCCAACAGGACAACATCGTCCGCAAACAGCAGAGATGAAATCCTGTGGTCTCCGAACCGGACCCCCTCCGACCCCTGGCTGCGCCTAGATATTCTGTCCATAAATACAGTGAACAGAACCGGTGACAAAGGGCAGCCCTGTCGGAGGCCAACATTCACCGGGAACAGGTCTGACTTACTGCCGGCAATGCGAACACAGCTCTGGCTCCGGTCATACAGGGATCGGATGGCCCTCAGCAGAGGACCCCCGACCCGGTACTCCCGGAGAACCCCCCAAAGGACACCCCAGGGAACACAGTCAAACGCCTTCTCCAAATCCACAAAGCACATGTGGACAGGTTGGGCGAACTCCCATGAACCCTCGAGTATCCGATGGAGAGTATAGAGCTGGTCCAGTGTTCCGCGACCGGGACGAAAACCACACTGCCCCTCCTGGATCCGAGATTCGACCATCGGCCGTAGCCTCCTCTCCAGTACCTTGGACCTGATGATGTTCTTGGCCTGTCTAATCACTGACAGCTCAAAAATAGTCTGAGGTGAGATTAGAGTGGACAGCGACACTCCCATGATCTTCCCGGCTAGTTTTTGCACCCTCCGGATCTGTGATTTGTATTTCATTGTGAGATTACCAAACCAGCTCACGATTCCGTATCTCAATATAGATTCAATACTCGCTCTATAGAAGGTCAACATAACATTTTGGCTCACTCCAAATACTCTAAGCCTACAAAGGAAGTACAGCCGCTGATGGATCTTTGCACAGATATTCGACACATGATTTTGCCAACACAGTTTATTGTCCATTTCCACCCCAAGGTACCTATATGATGAAACCTGTTCAATTATTTGTCCATGAATGAAGACGTTGCTATGGTCCCCTATCGAACGAGGATCTACAATAATCTCTTTTAATAAAAACAATAATAATGCATCGGTTTAATTTAGCGCTTTTTTGGACACTCAAAGACGCTTTACATGTCATTATTCTTTCACTCCATACACAGAGGTGATAAACTACTACTGTAGCCACAGCTGCCCTCTGGCACACTGACAGAAGCGAGGCAACCAGTCTGTGGCATCGGCCCCTCCGACCACCACCAACCATTCACACACACACCAGACTCATTCTAGGCAATGGGGGTAAAGTGTCTTGCCTAAGGACACAACGGCAGTTTGGCACCTTACAGCCGCAGCCGCCCCACTGTGGCTGGTGTTTCCAGAGATTAAGTGTCTTGCCAAGGACACAAGGACAGCAGACAGTGGGAGTTGATGGTGAAAGTCGGGCCCAAACTCTGGAACGCTCTCCCTTACTGTGTCAGAGCTGCCCTCTCTGTAGAGAGCTTTAAATCCCAGCTAAAGACACCTTTCTTTGCTTTGGCATTCTGAATCTTTTATGCGGCACGGTGGCTGAGTGGATAGCACTCTCGCCTCTCAGCAAGAAGGTCCTGGGTTCGAATCCCGGTCGGACCAGGGCCTTTCTGAGTGGAGTTTGCATGTTCTCCCCGTGTCTGCGTAGGTTTCCTCCGGGTACTCCGGTTTCCCCTACCACTAAAAATATGTCCAATAGTTCTAGCATGCGCCTCCTGTACTGGCGACCCCGCTCCCATCTCTGTGTGGAGTGAGAGACAAATGCCCAAAATTAACAATTGTAAACCGCTTTGAGACTCAGATCTGCAGTGAAAAGGCGGTATATAAATAAAAACTTACTTACTTACTTACTTACCAGTGTCTTATTTTATGCTGTATTTTGTTTGTGTGTCGTGTTATATTTTGTAATGTCTGGTAAGCACTTTGTGACAGTCATGTTTGTTTTTAAAATGAGCTATATGAATAAACTTAAATCTGGTTGTGGAAAGAAACTCTTAAGGAAAACGAGAAGTCCTGCATCTCAATCAATGAAGAAGCTGGAACATGGCTTTTCCAGAGTGGCCAGAAGATCATGCTACCTAAAATACTAATATTTATTTTTATATACAGGGTTAGTTTCAAATGTTGTGTATAATCAAGAATAGAAATGGTCATGTTCTAATACCCTACTCATTTATCTTTCAGTGGTCTAACGTCACCATTGGAAAGTCTCTAACAAGATATAAGGGGAAAACACACTTCTCTAACATTATGCTTTTCTATGTAAGGCAAGCTCAGAGGAAAGACTGGTCCACAAGAGGATTGTGGACTTGCAAAGGATTATTAATAATGATAGTTGATTAATATTTAAACATGTTTTATACAGCATGAACAATCAATACAGATATGTGCTTTACGAACTGTATAGGAGTTGAAGGCTTTGTCAATAGCAGACTTTATTCTTATTTTTCCTCATACTATTTCTGAGGAGGGAATCTACAAACACAGAATCCCCTCTGGGTTTCGTCACAATTGGGCCTAAAACAACCAACATGGAAGTTTAGAATACGCTATGTTTGCATTTGCAAGTTATGAAGCTCGATCAATAAAGTTTCAGCTTCATATTTTAAAAAAACCCCTCGATTTACTTGAACTAATGGTTCTATCACTTCACAGTCTCAGAATCATATTAAATTGGCTTAAAATGTCCCTAAAGGGTTTTTTATTTATCAGCTGGAGCGTTTGTTGAGAATCCCAAAAGGCTTGGTGGTGTGCACTGTAGCACAACAGTTGGATCTGATATAGATTCACAAGCTTCTTCAAAAGACATATTGAGAAACATGAACATGAAAGAGGCCATGGCACGGGAGACAGGCGTGATGAACTATTGGCTGTGGATAAAACCAGTAGCAACTTGAAATGATTAGTTTAGATGGCTTTGAAAGTAAATGGTTGAAAGTTGTTCTTGTTTCTCTGACTGTTGTACACGCTGGTGGTATTCATAAAGGTATTCATGTCCCATAAACCTTTTCACGTATTGTCTCATTATAACCACAAACACCAACGCAAAATGACGGACAATTGTTACATGAGTTCATTATTCAAAAAACATAAAAAAAATGTTAGAGTTTATATGCAAAAACAGATATCTCCGTTTTGAAATGTTGTCCAAATACTGTGTTCCTCCAGTTACAATCTTCAACGTGTTCTGTTAATTGCAGTTCACTTGTAGGAATTTGCTCAAAAAGGGATGAAACTTTATTTGTATGACACTAAAATAGATCTGGCTTTTCAAAAAACTAGTTGGTAAAGAGAGAAATGTAAGCTTTTCTGATATGTTTCTATGGCACTTATCAGTTTTTGCATGTTAAACTATTCTAATATAAAAAAAACAGTCGGCTAATCTGTGATGGCCACACACATTATGAGATGATATTGGTCACTTGCATGTGTTGTATGTGTTGTCTTTGTGTTTTTTTAAAAGTATTTTTAATTGCACAACCTTTGCTGCTCTTTGATGAGTTGATTGATAAACAGCATCATGAAGTCCAAGGAACCAAGAAGGGGTCAGGGTTTTAGCCATAATTCATTTATACAGAGATTTCTCAAGCTTTGAACATCTTACACGATCCCATCCCCCTCACCACTGACTCCAACTTAGGTCCAGGAAGCGTTTCTCCTTTATATTTTTGTTCTCACCGAGCACTGTTTAATCCATCATCTGTAATTGGAAAAATGTTTGGCAAACCTCTGAAGACACCAAAACAGTGTATCATTTTGTTTTCACTTCACAATTGTTGGTCACTTTGTGTTGGTTTTTCACATTCCAATAAAATATCTTCACGCTGGTGGACAAAAGCTTGGACTGCACTCTCTCTCAATTATAACCCCAGCTAGGGGGTTATGGAATCACCAGGGTGTGTCCGTCGGTCAGTTAGTTAACAAGATATCTCAAAAGTTAGAGGTGGATTTTTACAACTTTTTACAGCGGGTACAGATATTGGACCAGAAACAAAAAAATTGTTAGAGCGGGTCTGGAAAGGAATTATCTCAAGGAATAGAATGGCACCTCTCGCTGTAGGTCTGTGCTCCACAAGTGCTTTCGCTTTTGTTATTTAGATTCAGAGATCCTTTATTTGTCCCGCAGTGGGGAAATTTCAGAGTTGCATCACAAGTTACAGAACAGTAGGAATGAGGAGCTCACAGCACAAGACAAAAGAATGAAAACTCAAAACAATCTTCAACCCTAGCATAAAAAGAAGCGGTATAAAATCTCTATCTTTAGCATAATAAGGAAAAAAGTCTTGAAAAGCTCCAACTTTAGAATGATGAAAAAGAAAGACTTAAGTACAAAAACCACAGACTTTAGCATAATCAGGATCTAGCATAAAAGGCTGTATATTGTGTGCATTTGCAGAGCATACAGAAGCTTTGTGTGTCCTGGTGTGACTTAGGACGGTTGTTTTGATCAGAGTAGGTGTGATGGATTTTTCACTCTTCCTTTTGTCGGTACCTTTCCACAGACAGAGCGAGAGGATATCCTCTATTCTATTGTAATGAGGAAGATGACTAAGACCAGCACGGAAATACCTCTGTGGACCTGAACATTTATATCTGCACATTCTCTTTCACATCACGCTAGACATCTACGTCTACAGATCTGAACATTATTGTAATTATTAGACTTTTCTGACTTGGAGAGTACACATGAGGGTAAACTTGTAGGTCTTGGGAAACATATCTTTTGAGGCATTCATTATAATTGTTTATATTTGAGGTTTTATTTCCTCAAACAGGAAAGATCTACGTGGGCTTCTCCTCGAAACCATCACGACACTGAAAACAAAATGGAATGTTCTGTAGTAACAATGCAATGGATAAAAGTATTAAATGACTTTAACAAACTTGACTGATCATGTTCAAAGCCAGAAACAAAGCTCTTCCAGAAGAGCTACAGAAGTTATTTGTGTTTACTTCAGAAAATCTAGATCATAGAAGGAGAACGGATGTCATACACTAAGTAGCACAAACAACTTTAGAACATATGAGTTTGTCTGAGTAAAATTGTGGAAAACTTAAAAGAGGAAACAATTGAAAGTATACAGAATTGATTCTTAATTTGTGTTGTTTTTTGTTGTTTGTTTTTGAAATGTATGATTCTGTATTTTTACACATATTTGTGTTGATGATGGAGGCAGGGGGATATAAAATATATATAAAGAATTCCCTTCTTCTATCTGCTCCTTTCTGATCATGAAAATGTTTGAAAGATTTGGAAAAATCTTTGTGTAATGTATGTAATGGGCAATGTGCTTCTTATAACTATGTATTTTATGAAAAGAATAAAATAACCTATACTTAGAATGTTCATAGATTTCATAGATCTATTGTACCCACCGTCCATCGCTTGAATGCAGAGATGTAACACATCTGTCTGTAATGTTTGTTTCAGTGCAAGATGAAATCCAATCTCAATAAACAATAAAGTATTACCGTATCTTATAAATTGGTCGTTATTTAGAAAAAAATTATGTATAAATCCTCTCACGACCCCCAGCTAGAGTCAAGTAAGTGGTTAATATGGGCTAGCATAACATGTTATACAGGATCTCAAAAGCAATTGTTATTGTATGCTATTCTGAAAACTGAACTTAGAACACAAATAATTAAAATTGCTAATTGGCAATCAGTCTTTTGTCCAGTTAAGTATTGTTGATTTGGTTCAGAAAATAAAAGAGTATTCCATTTTCATGTGAAATAGAATGGACAATTTAGTCAAATTACTTCCAAAATTAACAAATAAAATAAAAATAGCCACGGCTGCAAAGTGTGAGGAATAGAGCGTTTAGCCTAATAACGTCTGACCCTTGAACTCAACAGCTCTTTTTTATTTTAATTTTGCCCCCAATCTGGATGGGTTTGTTGTTGGGCTGGTACACAGAGGTATAGGGGCAGGAGTATTGTTGATGGTTTTAATGCAATCAACTCAATTTTGACTCATGCTTTCCCAACAAAGCCATTGCAAACATATGGCATGCTGAAGAAGTCATATAAGATACCAACATTCATAATAACACCATCCAAAACTACTCCAAATCTACCACTCATACATGTCAAACACTCAGGTCATCTCCATAAAGTCAAAGCACGAGTTCCTTCAGTCTTTGTTATACCACGGACCACCCTCCGTAATGCGGCTCACCAATGCAGAAGCTGGTCCCGTCCCCGGTGTATCCGATGTTACAGAAGCAGGCGTGATGAGATCGGTTCAGCGACGCACAGGAGGCGTGTGGGTGACAAGAATCGCAGATGCCAGAGCAGCAGCATGGGGGCATCGCACTCCAGAACCACGCTGCGACAACACACAAGCACAAGACATCAAACTACCGTGACCCAAACCCCTTCATGGCTTCAAACGCACGTCTGCTTTTTCTATCACCGCAGACACGCTACAGGTTTAGACGTACCGATGGATCAGTCTCAGTACAAATGACTTCATAACTTTTCTCTCTAAGATCTTTGCTTTCCAACTTGATCCAGTAGCTTTGTGCTGGTGAAGTTACACATACCCACCCGAGGGTATTTTACTGCGGTGATCTCCCAAAGAAATCGCTCCGTGACAAAAGCCCAAATCTCCATATAATGCTTTGAACTTTTTTTGTCTTTATCTCTGCCATGGTATAGCTGATGGTACACCTTCAGTATTTGTACATAGCAAAAAAAAAGATTAAATATGAGGTAATAATTGCTTTAATCAAGTGTTTTTTTGTTTTAAGTACATTCTGACTGTCTTAAAACAAGATTTGCCAATGGGACAAAGTCTTATTTCAAGGACTGTTGCTTTATTTTCTCATTCCAAGGGAGACATTTCTTGTATTTTTAAAAATCAAGATAATTTAGCTTGTTCCATTGGCAAATCTTGTGTTAAGGCAAGGCAAGGCAAGTTTATTTGTCTAGCACAATTCTTCATACACAAGGGAACTCAAAGTGCTGAACAAAACAAGATAGAAACAATCACACAAGGCATTCAAATCATAAATAATCACAGTATATATAAAAATAAAGGTAAAAAATGTAAAATCCCTCAGTTGTATGCACAGCTAAACAGAACTGTCTTTAACCTGGATTTAAACATTGTCAGAGAGGAGGCCTGTCTCACACTTTCGGGACGATTGTTCCAAATTTTAGAGTAACAAATCTAAAATGCAGCCTCCCAATGTTTAGTTCTGATTCTGGGCCCCAGCAGGAGGTCAGTCCCTGTGCTCCTCAGAGTCCTAGTATAAGGCAGTCAAAATGGGCTTGAATGAAGATACAATTTGCTAAATGTTTTACTTAGTTTACTTTACATTTGCAGTGTAGTATCTTAAGCTTGCATTGTCAAAACACACTGTAACATCACTCTCTAAGAAATTCCAAATATGACACCAAAAGTGATGCATATAAAACATACATACAGCTGAAAATTCTAATATCATTCAAAAGTCCATTTACTTCTGAGATTCAACTTATAATGTACTAACGAACTAATATAAATATGACGGACTAATTTCATGCAAAGTGAGATATATCAAGCTGTTTTTTGTAATAATGTTGAAAATTGGGTCACATAACTCAATATAAAACATCTCAGGATATTAGAATATTTTGAAAATGATCTATAATAATCATCAACATTATAACAAAGGCTTGGCATATGTCACTTTGCATGTATTAAGTCTAAATCATATATTATTACACATTTTAAGTCAAATGACATACATTATTATTAAACAATACATGTGAAAATAATAGTTTTTCACGTGCACATGCAATACAATAAATGCGTTTTGTCCACATTCAATGCTATTACATTAAAACCTCCAAAAACCTCCTAACCTTTTGGTGTAGGACATTCTAAACTTAATCCAGCATTCTCAACAACAACAAAAAACAAGTATTATTTTACTGCCTACCTGTTAAAAGTACAAGTTTCATTGGTGACTTGAGCAGAAACTCCATACTGGCGCTGGCTGAGGATTTCACTTTTAGCAGACAATGTGGTGGGCTGGGTTGTGACGTGGGCCATTTCCTTGCATCAGTTTTCCTGTTTCTCCAAACCTGACCCTTCCTGTCTGTTCCTAATCTTTAATCTACTTCAAAAACAACTCACACAGACACAAGTTAGTCAAGTCTACTAGCGCAAACAGAAAACGCAACTTTTTCCCCTACTGTTTTGTTTGATTTTTACAAAAGTTGTGAGGTTAAAAATCCCAAAATATCCAAAAAAACTGTTACTGTACTGTTCCGATGAGGGACCGCTCCCTTCCGGGTGAAGGAATGAACACAAATCTCTTTACATTTCAGTGTCCGTTTTAACATTTCTCAGCAAGATTTTAGAAAATGAAACTGTAGAATGTTTTGTAAGTGCTTTATGGATTATCTTTGTGACATTTATAAAGCCGTTGGCCCGCTGTGGACCACTCCATTGTTCCCGCTTGTATACAATTACAGCCCACTTGCAAGAAGCATCGGGGGTGTGCAGAAGTGGTAAGATAAACAGGGCTGGCCGCCTTTGTGGAGAGCGGAGTTATAAGTTGATTGTGCCTTTGAAAGTCACTGATAAAAGAGCACATTGCATTCTTGGATCTGTGACCACATTTGACGACTAAGGAGCCCATTTAGAAAGAAATATGCAACCCCATGGTGCTGACTTTCAGAAGGAATTTGACAGAATTCAGTACTGGTTTGTATTTCTCATTTCACTTTCAAAAATGCACACGCACATATGTTCATCAGAGGTTTGTTTTAGAAAGGACAGGGCAATACAGGTGAAACTAGGTAATAATAATCATAAAAAAGTCCATTTACTTATGTATTCATCTTAAATGTGAAACCAAAGTGACTCTTTACATGCAAAATGACATATACTTTAAGCCGTCATTAGATATATTTTATTTTAACTATTTTGATTTAGTGTCTGTTACAGATCTAGTTCTTTGTGTTTTCCCCTTCTACCTCTGCCCAGATCCTCCAAGCACAAGCTTGAACAACAGACTCGGGCGCACTACATACGTCACGGTAAACTCAGATCCAATCGTTTCAATCTGCAAAAGGAGTTAACCCCTCCCACCTGTAAACGGAGCTCAATGGAGCACCTCCAGACCTTAGTACGAAATGTGATTTGTACTATGTTGTGGTACGACCGGGCTAGTATTAGTGTAATGAGTGAGTGAATAGATGGTGTTGGTTGGGGCTTTGATGTCGCCGTGTCTTCTGTCATCACCGTGTGTGGAGAGAATGGAAAAATATCTGACCTCTGAACACTGTGAAGCGCTTTACAATAAAAAGTAAATTAAAATTACTTACTTACTCACGCTAAAGGACGTACAAAGGGCCTAGGCCCAAACCCAGCCATGGCCCTATCCGAGCAGTGGGTCCTGCTGTTAACACATTTACACTTCTTTTGGGTATAATAAACGTTTGTTACTTCTTAGACTGCTTCCCGTCTCTGTTCCTCGCCTGGGACATCACGTGATTGAGCCATTGACCTAGAAGCCACCACCACCTATGGCACTAACACAGTCCATTTCCAATATATTGTGTGAGATGTTTTATGTAGGGTTTTTACAAGCTGGGGGCCAATTATCAACAAGTAAAGGCCTGATATATGTCACTTTAGGTGTATTGAGTCTACAATGTTAGTTTCACTTTGTAAGATGAATCACAGAACAATAGTCAAAATTTACAGAAACAAGGCAACAGAAAATCATTCTATTAAATTGTAGTTTGTCAAATTGTATCTCAGGGCAGGTCCAAGTGGTAGTGGCAGTCGCATCAGTAAATTAAAATGTAAAAGGTCTGACAGGATCACGTATAGTGGAGTACTGCTTCTGCTTGGGGCCCACCAACACCGTCTGATGAATGGTCTCTCTTGGATGATCCGCTCCTTGTTGACTGTACTTTCAGCCATCGTGAAGGTGCTTTGAATTGCTTAGGCAAGGCGTTACGTTTAGTTACTGGAGAATGGCAGCTGCTTTGAATCAACACCATTAGAAGTGCAGCGCGTACTGTCCCGGGAAGTGAAAAGTAGACACTCTGAATGCCGTCGCCATGACACCCATCTCCCTGAGAGGAAGGAAGTGATGTTGTCTAGGAACAAACCTGGACTGATTGCACCCTTCTTCCTTAGACTTGCACTTTTGCGGGGAATCTCTCATTTAGAAATTTGCAATGCTTTCTTGACGCTTATACTTGGCCCACAATAACGGCAAAAATACCTATGCTGAAAAGATCTCTTAAAAAGCATAGCTGCAGTTTTGTGTAAATGTTTCCTATTTCCTATCGCTTACTCATGGATATGGAAATTTCAACTGTGAGTTCAACACGGGCACATTCAGGCAATATTGAGATCTGCGGTGTAGTACAGTGGATAATGCATTTTAACGTATCCCAGCTCTGATCTTAGACCTGTGTTCCGCCATGATGCGAGGCCTGAATGATAGCAAGTGAAAAAAAACCCAAAATTTCAGTGCAGTAGGTTTAAGAGACAAAGTAAGCGTTTTTAGAAGGTTCACGGATCCCAGCAGCTGTGTGCACCAAACCCTGAGAATTTTCATTGCCCTTAACAGCTTGCAGTCAATATCTCTCCATAATTGATCTGAAGCCTTCCAGGAAAAGCGAGTTTATTGGTTGAATTTTGTTTGAGAAACGTTTTCATTTCATTCAACAGCTTTCAGACTGAAGGTTAGACCATCAAGGATACCCTCTTTATAAGTCAACAAATCACTTGTATTTCAGGGTCTTTTCTCACCGCTCTTCTAGTGGTTGAACTGCACGGGTGAATGTAACTTTTTACACACTTGACTGCTGATAAACTAATGAAAAGAGGACATTTGCCTTGATTGTTCCAGTTGGAGAATGTGGCCTCTGCATTTGACACATCCATCAATGCCACTTAAGCTGTCAGGCAGAGAGCTTGCAGATATTATTGACTTTGGCTTGGTCACGGTCTGCGCTGAAGAATTTTACCTTGTGCATGTTTTGTGTTGATGAAGAAAACCAGAGGCGGATGAGACTCACTAAAATCTGGATGTTTCATTGCTTTTTTTAACTCAAATTTCTGGGTAAAAAAAAAAATCCAATTACCAATTACAATGTGATGTCTGTTAATGACAATGTGATGTCTGTTAATGACTATATGAAACAGGTAGTATGGTTAATATTAATTATTTTTCATATGAAATATTTATATAAAACAGTCCATCCCCTTGGAATATGCATTACCACTAAGATTTGCTGAAGGAGAATTAGTTAGAATTAGAGACCTCAACTGTAACAAACCAGCTCTGTTCGAGTGAGGGAGGTAACAACATGTCTATTGTGTGTACTCATATGGTAGAGCAGGTATGAAGGGCCTCATTCTGAAACGTTTCACTTGTAGTCTGTAAATACAAGACACTTGGGAGCCACATAGCTGAGCAGATTGTTTTCTTTTTTCATATTGTGCACTTCTTTGAATCCAGCATACTCAGACAATTGGGATTTGCGGCCTTATTTGAAACAATCTTGTACTTATATAGTAGACAGTTTAAGAAAATGTGATGCTATTTCTGACTTTTTTATAACTTCTTTGCACCATGAGCCAAAGCCAATTCCTAGTTTGTGACTCCCTGTTATATGGTAATACATGATTTCTGATTCTGATACTGAATCCAAGCTGTAAAATGGTAAAAATGTAATTTCATAACGTAAATGATCAAACAAACAAATACATAATAATAAAATTAAAAAAAATACAGTAACAAAAGGTTACACAGGATTAGTCAAATTCACACACACTACATGCAAAAAGGGACAGAACTAAGGCATGAGGCCATAACAGGAACCTGTGGCTGGTGTAACTGATGCTTGCCTTTCAAAACTCCATCTTCAGAGTCTGAAAAGTAACTGATTAGGAAGAGTTAATTAGGTTAATATTAGGGTTGGAGATAAGGTAGGGGTAAGCTTGCAGCAGGACAAAATACCAAGATTTTAGATCGTCCTGAAACCGGAGTGCACGAAGGAAACTCACCCACTCACACAGAGAATAGACAGGCTCAGAGCAGGGAATTTAAACAGCAAATTATTGCTGTGAGGCATGAGTGCTCACCACAAGAGTCTCACGCTTTTTCCTTCATCACCAAATCTTTTATAATCAAAAAAGAAAAGACTGAACCATAGTTTTTCACATTTCTGGTGTGACAGAGGCTAAACAAAATGTGTAAATGGTTTTTGAAACCAAGACAACTAGTTTTCCCTGGAAGAGTTTTTTTTGGGGACAAAAGTGACAGAGACCTACATTGGATGAAGTATATTTGATTAGAAAACATGTCTTAAAACAATGGAATAACTACAGCTTTAGTCTTATTTCAAGCTCAGATGTAGAAAAAGTATCTCTTGTTTGAATGGCAAATTTTGATCATTTCTATCATTTTTTGTGACAATTTTATTTGTGGGTCTATACCCATAAAACAATCCATCATCAAGTAGAGAATATTTATATCAAAAAAATCTTTTAGGTTAGATAATTTTTTTTTTTACATATTATTTGTGTATTGAAAGTTGGGAACCCCAGCTTTTAAAATTAAAAATCCAGAAAGTACAAGCTAAAGTTCTATACCCACTTATCCGTCTGCTGACCATTTAATTACCTTTAACCTTAACATATCCTCTTTTCGCTGTTACGATAAGTCTCCATTTCCTTTGCTGTAAGTGTTTCAACAGATGGGTCTTTAGTGCACAGTGGATTTGATGTCGCTGGTCCAGAAGAGGTTTGGGGTTGAGGTTCAGTGTCGGCTTTGCTTCCTGTAAAATCCACTCTGTCGGAAGAGGATTGTTATCAAACTCAAAAACTACATTAATCTCTCAAGTGTCAGTGACTTGCAACACTTTGATATAATTCCTTAAACCTCAGGTCTGCGGATTATTGCTGTTACATTTCTGTCCAGGCGAGCTGGTTCAAACATAGGACTTTTTTAGGT